CTGTGTGGGCTTTGCGCCGTGATGCGAGAGATCCAGGGCGGCACTGCTCCAGGAGGTTGTACTTGATTGACAATTTCGGGGTCGTGCTTGCTTTGGAGCGTGGGAGGGCCACATCACACGGCCTCCTGCAGATCTGTCGACGGGTTACCGCTCTGTCCATAGCCTGTAGCATTTCGGCTCGTTTCCGTTGGATCGCCTCAGAGTCAAACCCGGCCGACGCGCCTAGTCGGCTCTGGGAGCGGCCGGACGCTCGGCCGCCCTGTGGGCCGTATGCTCGGCCCGCTCAGCGTGGCTGGAGGGACTACGCCCTGCCTGGAGGACAGCCACGGGCGCGCGTCGACCACCAAGGGGGTCCAGCGCGCCGTGCGGAAGGCTCGTGCTGTTCGTCTTCCAGCTCCAGCCGCGCCGAGGCGGGCCAGGCTGGGAAGGCCCGCTGCCGCGCCGGCGCTGCGGCGGCGCCCGGCGGCGGTGGCCGCGCCTGTGCCGCTTCGCCGCCCAGCAGCCGCAGGCGCGCCCGCGCCGATGCGCCGCCCGGCCGCGGCGCCCGGCGCTGCCGGGCTTCGGCCCCGGCTGGCGGCGGCGGTGGCGACGGTGCGGACCTCGAGGGTGACGGCCACGATCCCGTCGGCGTGCGAGAACGCAGCCGTCGGTTCCTCGGCCAGGCTGTCCTACCAGCAGTACTACGCGGCCTTCCTGGCGTTCGTGGGACAGCCAGCCGACGACCTCGAGGCGCTCGAGGTGCAGGTCCTGGAGGTCCTCGACACGTTCCTGGAGGCGGGCTGCACGAAGGGGGACGCGGACTACCTGGTCGCCGCCGTCAAGGACGCGCTGCCGCGGGCGACGGGGCCGAGGGCCCTGCCTCGCGCGCAGCGCGCGCTGAAGGGGTACGGCAAGAAGGTGCCCCCGAGGTCGCGGGCTCCCGCGCCCCGCGAGGTGGTGGGCTCAGCGATCTCGGGACTCCTCTCGGTGAACGAGCGGGACGCCGCGCTCCAGGTGCTCGCGATGTTCAGCACGTTCATCCGCCCGGGAGCGCTGAGGAAGCTGCTGGTGAGGGACCTCTTGCGGCCCACGAGGGCCGGGGGTGCCATGGCGGTGTGGTCGCTCCTCCTGGCGCCGACGGCGGCCGACCCGCTGGCCCCGCTCGCCCACGAGGCGGACCGAGCCCGCTTCCTGACCAAGACGGGGACGTCCGACGAGGCAGTGCCGCTCGACAACCCGCCCTGGCTCGGGCCTCTGTTGGCCCAGCACGCACACGGCCGTCCAGGGCATCTGTCGTTGTTCACCACCCCCGCGGTCGACATGGCGGTGCTGTTCCGCAAAGTCACGGCGGCTCAGGGGCTGCAGGATGTGTGCCTATACCAGTTGCGCCACGGCGGTGCGAGCGAGGATGTCCTCTCGGCCCGCCGCACCCTCGGGGAAGTGAAGTCGAGGGGGCATTGGAGCCAGGACAGCAGCGTCAAAAGGTATGCAAAGCCCGGGATGGTCCAGCAGCTGTTGTCAGCGCTGTCACCAGCCGCCCGAGCGCACGGCGAGGTCCAGTGGGCGAGGCTCGAGGACCTCTTCGCGGGGCGCCTTCGCTCCTCGTGGCCCGTGCAGTAGCCTCGATTAGGCCGCTGGGCGATTGGGGGCCGCGTGGTGGGCTGCTGCAACTACCTCGTGTCGTGCGTTTTGCCAATACAGTGGGAGTGGAGCTGATGGCGGGCAGCCGCAGGTTGTCGGCGGCCTGTGTTCGTGCCGGGCTGCCCATGCGCTCATTCGAGTTCGCCGACTCTCCGTTGGAAGACGCGCTTCATCCTGATGTTTTCCAGCTCCTCCTCGCAGTCGCTGGGCGAGGCCTCAAGTTTGTCTGGATCGGGCTCGTGTGCACATCGTGGTCCCGGGCGCGGCGGAACCCTTCTCCTGGAAACTGGCCGGGACCTATCCGCTTACCCGAGTGCATCTTGGGGCTCCCTGGACTCTCTGAGAAAGATCAAGGCAAAGTGAAGTTGGGTAACCGTCAGGCCGATTGGGCCGCCAGCCTGTTCTCTAGACTCGTGTCGTTTGGGGTCCCTGTCATTATTGAGAATCCCCAGGGGTCTATGTTGTGGCTGCACCCCCGCTCCCAGGCATTATTGACAAAACATAACTTTATTGACTGGGATCATTGTGCGTTTGGATCGTGTTACCGCAAGCGGACTCGGTTGTTGTATGCTAATTGTGTGCTCGACGGCCTTCGCTCGGATCGGTGTCACGGTCGTGGAGTATGCTCGTTCACAAACCAGCCTCATGTGGAGATCGCAGGAAAAGATGAGTGTGGCATCTTTCATTCTAAGAAGGCTTCCGCCTATCCCGTCAGGTTCTGTGATAAATTCGCCCACATTCTCTGCCATCAAACTGTATAACGCAACACTGCCGCCCTGGGGTCCTTAACTTTTTAGCCGATTTGGTGGGGGGGCGCCCGTTGGTCACCCCGTTTTCGGTGGGATGGTGTCGCCTAGCGGCACTGGGCCCGCCAAAGATGGGCTGGCCTGCGTGCGTCGCCCTGCCTGGTTTTAAGTTACCCGCCCTCCCCCCCGGTTCATTTATGTAAATGGGCTTGGGGCTTGGAGGCGGCTGCTTGAGCAGCGCTGGGCCGTGTTCGATAGCATGCTTTATCGATCGCTCGCCTGATTTACTGAGTCTGCTGGCATCGGAAAATATGGGGACACGTGTCAAACACATGGCCCTGCGTGCTGGATAGTGTGTTCTCGAGTGTCTCCGTTCCGCTGCCGTTTTTGGGCTCTGCCAAAAACTTGAAGACGGTTGTCCCTCCCTGCCCTCCCTTGCTCCTCTCCCCTGCTGGCAAGTGTGGCCCCTTGCTCACAGGGGCTTGGAGGCGGCTGCTTGAGCAGCGCTGGGCCGTGTTCGATAGCATGCTCTATCGATCGCTCGCCTGATTTACTGAGTCTGCTGGCATCGGAAAATATGGGGACACGTGTCAAACACATAATCATGTTCATCATCATCAGCAGCATCATCATCGTCCTCCTTCTCATCCTTCTCATCCTCCTCCCTCCCTCCCTGCTCCCTCCTCCTCCTCCTCCTCCTCCTCCTGCTCCTCCTCCTCCTCCTCCTCCTCCTCCTCCTCCTCCTCCTCCTCCTCCTCCTCCCCCTCCGTGGCCATTTTGGCTCAAGCCCCTTTCCCTCGAGTGATTGAGGAGAGGGTCGGCGGGCGCACTTGAAAGGGGCTCCAGCCCGTCGGAGCCATGAAGGCGGCATAAGGCTCCTGCTGCTGTACCGCTTGCTCATCGAGGGCAACATCGGCAGTGTTTGGGGGGCGTTCGAGGAGCAGTACTTGCGGGAACACCCCGACGGCGTGCTCGAGGTACAGGTGCTCGACATAAATGTTGGAGGCGGCGGGTTTGCAGCCCAGCCAGGAGTACCACCGGGGCCACCGCTGGAAGTCACCGCCCAGGCGAGTGAAGGTGGAGGATCAGTGACTGCCGTAGCCCCCACCACCGCTGCAGTCCAAGAAAATCCCGTGGCGGCGCGCGGAGTCGTCCGTGCAGGCAGGGAACGGCGAAAGCCGTCAAGAAGAAGAACCAGCAGAAGAAGAAGAAGGTCGCTCGGTGTCGAGCTGCCGCCAAGACGAACCCCTTCGTGAACCTCCAGGGCCACATCGACAGGCCTCAGGAGTGGAAGCTGAGGGGCTGCAAGATCCCCAGGTGGAGGTGCGAGGACTGCGCCAAGAGGCTGAAGAGGAAGGTGGTGCTCTTCGGCTTCAGGGTGCAGCGCCCCTTCTGCTGCATGCCGCCGCCGTCGCCCGTCCTGAAGCAGCACGAGGCGGCCATGCGCAGAACCAACAGGGAGGACCTCGAGCGCCAGAGGGCCTACAGAAGGCAGCTGGCGGCGGCCACCAGTGCGAGTTGTTCGGCTTGTCCAGCGTAGACGACCCTGAGAGCTCGGAAGGCCAAGTTCCTCAACAAGTTCAAGAAGAGCCTCCACAAGAAGCAGGCCACAGTGGTGAATCCCAGTGTGCAGGCGGCGGTGGAGAAGACCATGCTGGAGAGCATCAACGCGATGGCCAGCAAGGCGAAGGAAACCAAGGTCATCTTGTTGGAGTTGATCGAGTCGCTTCAGCCTGCCCACCAGAAAGGCTCAGTGGAGGCGCAGGGCGGGGTGCAGGCCCTCATCCAGAATGCCGAGAAGGATATCGCCAGCGCGGCGGCGGACTTGGAGCGTCTCGAGCAATTCCAGGCGATCCGCGGGTGAACCTCTCGCGCGACGGCAACCGCGACTTCTCGGGCGGGAGTCAGAAGGACCGTGAGCCGAATCTCACGGAAAATGTGAAGAAGCTGCCAGCCGTTTCATCCTTCCCGCTCCTCGCTGCGGCGGGGGACGACTCGCCGGTACTCTCGCGTGCTGACTTTCACGAGTGCCGGCGCCTCATGGACAAGTGCGACGCTGCCAGCTCGCCGGAGGCCAAGAGCAGCGCGATGGCGGACATCAAGTCGCACCTGCACAGGCTAGAGCTCGCCCAGGCACGCTGAGGGCGGGCTGTGTTTTTCCAGACCCG